CACTTCAAGAGAGTATCGGCAATTTGAATTCTCTTGTGGAGTTGAATTTGTCTGCATGTGTATCCTTGAAGGCACTTCCAGATAGCATCGGCAATTGAACTTCTCTTGTGGACTTCGATTTGTATAAATGTGGATCCTTGAAGGCACTTCCAAAGAGCATCGGCAATTTTAACTCTCTTGTGGACTTGGATTTGAATATATGTAGATCCTTGAAGGCACTTCCAAAGAGCATCGGCAATTTGAACTCTCTTGTGAAGTTGAATTTGGGAGTTTGTCAATCCTTGGAAGCACTTCTAGAGAGCATCGGCAATTTGAACTCTCTTGTGAAGTTGGATTTGAGAGTTTGTAAATCCTTGAAGGCACTTCCAGAGAGCATTGGCAATTTGAACTCTTTTGTAAAGTTGAATTTGTATGGATGTCGATCCTTGGAGGCACTTCCAGAGAGTATCGGCAATTTGAATTCTCTTGTGGACTTGAATTTGTATGGATGTGTATCCTTGAAGGCACTTCCAGAGAGCATTGGGAATTTGAACTCTCTTGTGGACTTGGATTTGTATACATGTGGATCCTTGAAGGCACTTCCAGAAAGCATCGGCAATTTGAACTCTCTTGTGAAGTTGAATTTGGGAGATTGTCAATCCTTGGAGGCACTTCCAAAGAGCATCGGCAATTTGAACTCTCTTGTGGACTTGGATTTGTTTAGATGTCGATCCTTGAAGGCACTTCCAGAGAGCATCGGCAATTTGAACTCTCTTGTGAAGTTGAATTTGTATGGATGTCGATCCTTGGAGGCACTTGACTAGAGTATCGGCAAGTTGAATTCTCTTGTGGAGTTGAATTTGTCTGCATGTGTATCCTTGAAGGCACTTCCAGATAGCATCGGCAATTTGAACTCTCTTGTGGACTTCGATTTGTATACATGTTGATCCTTGAATGCACTTCCAAAGAGCATCGGTAATTTGAACTCTCTTGTGAAGTTGAATTTGGGAGATTGTCAATCCTTGGAGGCACTTCCAAAGAGCATCGACAATTTGAACTCTCTTGTGGACTTGGATTTGTTTAGATGTCGATCCTTGAAGGCACTTCTAGAGAGCATCGGCAATTTGAATCCATTTGTGCAGTTGAGATTGTATGGATGTGGATCCTTGAAGGCACTTCCAGAGAGCATCGGCAATTTGAACTCTCTTGTGAAGTTGAATTTGAGAGATTGTCAATCCTTGGAGGCACTTCCAGAGAGCATCGACAATTTGAACTCTCTTGTGGACTTGGATTTGTATACATGTCGATCCTTGAAGGCACTTCCAGAGAGCATCGGCAATTTGAACTCTCTTGTGAAGTTGAATTTGAGAGATTGTCAATCCTTGGAGGCACTTCCAAAGAGCATCGGCAATTTGAACTCTCTTGTGGACTTGGATTTGTTTAGATGTCCATCCTTGAAGGCACTTCTAGAGAGCATCGGCAATTTGAACTCTCTAGTGGAGTTGAATTTGTATGGATGTCGATCCTTGGAGGCACTTCAAGAGAGTATCGGCAATTTGAATTCTCTTGGGAGTGAATTTGTCTGCATGTGTATAGCCATTGCATCCACCTAGCCAACTAGCATCGGCAATTTGAACTCTCTTGTGAAGTTGAATTCGTGAGATTGTCACTCCTTGAAGGCACTTCCAGAGAGCATCGGCAATTTGAACTCTCTTGTGGACTTGGATTTGTGTAGATGTCGATCCTTGAAGGCACTTCCAGAGAGCATCGGCAATTTGAACTCTCTTGTGAAGTTGAATTTGTATGGATGTGGATCCTTGAAGGCACTTCCAGAGAGCATCGGCAATTTGAACTCTCTTGTGCAGTTGAGTTTGTATGGATGTGGATCCTTGAAGGCACTTCTAGAGAGCATCGGTAATTTGAACTCTCTTGTGAAGTTGAATTTGAGAGATTGTCAATCCTTGGAGGCACTTCCAAAGAGCATCGGCAATTTGAACTCTCTTGTGGACTTGGATTTGTTTAGATGTCGATCCTTGCAGGCACTTCCAGAGAGCATCGGCAATTTGAACTCTCTTGTGGAGTTGAATTTGTATGGATGTCGATCCTTGGAGGCACTTCAAGAGAGTATCGGTAATTTGAATTCTCTTGTGGAGTTGAATTTGTCTGCATGTGTATCCTTGAAGGCACTTCCAGATAGCATCGGCAATTTGAACTCTCTTGAGGACTTCGATTTGTATACATGTGGATCCTTGAAGGCACTTCCAGAAAGCATCGGCAATTTGAACTCTCTTGTGAAGTTGAATTTGGAAGATTGTCAATCCTTGGAGGCACTTCCAAAGAGCATCGAC